CTTCTTTCTCCAACACAGTTGCATAACCTTGGAGCCCTCCTGGATATCCCCCACTTCTTGAAGATAATATGCCTGGAAATGTTTTGCATTGCTTCTCAAATAGGATGGGAACTGAATCAGACAGTAATTATCACACATTAATCTCTTTAAGCAAGGAATGCAAACTCTCCCCCAGGAACTGGGACAGAAACATCTATTTAGATTTAACCCTTAAAAGTCTTGTACTATCTTAAATTGTGAACCAGGTCAGCTCTATTGGGCCCTTCCACCAGTGCAGGAATCATGCGTATCTCTTCACAGTTAGTTATTCTGATCTGCTGTGCATCACTAATACTATCACGCTGCCACAACTGAGGAGTATGTCCAGCTACGCAGCAAGCTGGGCTTGCAGAGGACAGGAACATTGTTGTGTAGTCCTATCAGTGAACTTAGAAGTAGGAAATGGGGTGTCAGCAAATGCTTTGGTCTTTGAATACTCACAGTCTCTTAATACCGGGGGTGTGGAAGTTGAGACATGAACTAGGAAATGGGTTGGTGTTCTTTATGCTGTTCATTTGTAATCTAGGAGTCACAGAGTCAGCACCATATAGCTGTCCTTCTTCATGGCGTAAAAGATAATGGAGCTTGAGCCTTGGGACATAAATGGGCTCTATGACTCAAAGCAAAGCAGAAGAGGTAAGTAAGCGTATCAGTAACAGCTAATAAGCACGAAGCCCATGTCCAGCAACTATGGTAAAGCACCCCCAGCCTCTGATTTGCATGTGCGGATAACAGAAACCGCATACCTGTCAGCTACTACAAAAGGCAATACTTCCCAAGTGACCAGCTCTTCTGTTTCGGGCACATTCTTCTCTGGGAACAGTGGTGTCTGGCCTGTAATGCAAACCAAATTTCATGGGGATCAATTAAAAGAAAAGGTACAATACCACACAGAATTAGGTTTCTGGGGAAACTTGGGCATTACACCTCGCGGCAAAACTGTGAAGCTACAAGAAATGCCCCCCAGTGATCAGACCCTTGCAGTATTGCTCGTGCTGGGGCGGGGGGTGTGTGTGTGTGTGTTCTTTTCTCTTTGCAAACTATGTCATCCTTTTTTTTAAAAAAAACCCTAGTACAAATAAATAAAACATGCTGCACCAGAAACATGTAAGCAGCTGTTAGAGGGGAAAGTCATTGAGAAAGACCCTAGAATGTAACTTGTTGAGCTTCTATTACCAATCGGAGCTGAGAAAAAAAGCTTCCACTTTGTATCCACAAGCTATAATCAATCATATGGCCAAAGGCCACTCTGTTGTTCTTGTGGCTGGGTTATGTGGAGAAGCCAGAGAAACAGAGGCTGTGAGAATGATGCAGAGAGTTATAGACAGTCAGTGAAGTAAAAAGTAAACCAGTATCTACTTAACTATTATCTGCTCCTAAAGGAAAAAGAGAAAAAGAAAAAAATGTTAAATAAATTGTATTCTTGTGGTACAGGTCATTTCAAACAAAACAGAAATAAAACACAGAATGTAAAAACTAACCCAGGCAGAGTAATGTTTATTGCGTTCAGGAGCTGCTCTGTTCTGTCCCTTGAGGTTCCCCCACCCCACGGAAGAGGCTGGGGTGGGAGAAGGCAGGATTTTGCATGCTGCAGTATGGGAGGAGAGCCCCAGCCTGCTCAGAAGCACTAATCTGGTGTTTGCCCATAGCCAGAAAACAAATTCTCAGCAAGCTCCTCCAATTTTGTAAGATAAGCATTGCTGGGAGCTCATCAGACAGGCATGTTGTTGTCAGCATCTGCCATGGACTGGTCTGTTTTTTCCACTCACCCATTTTCTCCCTACATTCTGCACTTCACTGGTGCAAGGAATAAAGATGAGCTAGTGATGAAAAAGCCTTGAAGTTGTTCCAGTGAAAAACAAAATTTCTAATCATAGAATAGACCACTGGCTGAAACCCAACAGTGACATCATGAGTGTTGCAAGTATTACAGCAGAATCCATTGCTTATAAAGCGGGTGCAAGTGCTGAAGTCATGGCATTTGCTTTGATGGTGGTCAAGCAATGCAGGAGAGCAAGCTCATATCTGCTTCAGAAAGCAGAAGAAACTCACTGTGGTAACTGGGGTAGAGACATGAGAAACAAGCACCCCAGGACTCTGACTTTTGAGCACGGACAGCGTCACCCCCCATGTAAGCACCACCATCTCCACGTCTCACTTTTAACCAACACTGAGGTCTTTTTTCCAGGCAGCGGCACTCATCAGGCAACCAAGAGGTGTCTCAGCCTGCCCTCAGGAGGCGATGGCTGTGAATTAGTGGTGGCCAGTAGGAAAGGCTGTGGGAGAGAAAAGAGCTTGAATGAAAAACCAAGATGAGCCACCACAGTAGGACTTTAGAGCAGACTTTACCTCAGTTAAATATAGCACAGGGACAGCCACTCTGTGGCTTTGCAAAGGGCAGCAGTTTTGACAAGTTTATGTGGCGCTGGAGCTACTGGTGTCACGAGATCAGCAAGGGCAGCCAGAGGACTGTGGTGAGCCCGGGCCCCACTGGTGTCTTCAAACACCGTTCATGGGACTTAAGGTTTCCTCAGTCCCTTAACTCTGAAGTAGCAGCTGTCTTCCTTACACATCCTGGGCACCCTTCTGCACTGCATAGGTTTTTCAAGGCTTTCCTTACATTCCTTACTATTGTTCACTCACTCACACTGGAAATAGAGGTGGGGGGTGTCCTGATAGTAAGCACACTGAGCATTGGGAGAAACTGAGGGCCACCTGAAATTTCTTCTTACAGAAAAGCTTCACAGGAAATTCTAGAAAAATACTCTGTTTTCTCCAGTCCAATTAGCTGAAGAGGGAAGGAGATTTCTTTACTAATCATAGGATCAACTACATTGGAAAAGACCTTTAAGAAGGATCATCAAGTCCAACCCTTATCCCAGAGTCCACCACTACACCGTGTCACTACGGGCCTCATCTACAGGTTTTTTAAATACTACCAGGGACAGTGAGTCCACCACTTCCCTGGGAAACCCATTTGGTGAAGAATTTTTTCCTAATATCCAGTATATTACAGCTGCATATATATATGTATATTATGTGTGTATATATATATATACACATAATATATATATGTATATACATATATACATACGTATATGTATATGAATTATTTTACATATATATATATATGCATGTAATATAATGGTGCAGCTTGAGACCATTACCTCTTGTCCTATCACTTCTTATCTGGGAGATCAGCCACCTCCTGGCTCCATCCTCCTTTCAGGTAGCTGTTGAGAGCAATAATGTCCCCCTTGAGCCCTCACTTCTCCAGACTAAATAACCCCAGTTCCCTCAGCCATTCCTCACCACACTTGTGCTCCAGACCCTTCACCAGCTTTGTTGCCCTTTTCTGGACCCACTCCAGATACCTCAGTATCTCTCTTGTAGTGAGGGGCCCAGAACTGACCACAGGATTCTGGTGCAGCCTCACCAATGCAAGTACAGGGGGATGATCACTGCCCTGGCCCTGCTGGCCACGCTATTGCTGATACAGGCCAGGAAGCTGTTGGCCTTCTTGGCTGCCTGGGAACAAGCTGTTCATGTTCAGCTCCCCCAGGTCCTTTTCTGATGAGCAGTTTTCCAGCCACTCTTCCTCAAGCCTGTAGCGTTGCATGGGATTATTGTGACCCAAAGGCAGGACCCAGCACTTTTTCTTGTTGAACCTAATCAATGCTGAGTTCTCTAAACACATTTCTCTCCCCCAAGATAAAGTCACGTTTAACTGCTGGGATATGTTCTTAAGCTCCAAATGCTAAAATGATTGCAGCAGTTGTCTGTGGCTACCTGAACATGAAATAAAATGAAAACCAAAAAGATTTTTCTCTTTCAGGCTAAGGTATCACAGAGGGAATCAAAGCAAACATTAGCTAATGTAGTGAAAACTTCAGTGTTCAACTTCCCAGTACCAGGAAGAGGAGAGGTTGTGCTGTGTGCCTGGCTTTCTTTTGGTTGATAAGAAAATGAACATGAGCCAGCTTCAGTGTGCGCTCGCAGCCCAGAAAGCCAACCATATCCTGGGCTGCATCAAAAGGAGCGTGACCAGCAGGTCAAAAGATGTGATCCTGCCCCTCTACTCTGCTCTCGTGAGACCTCACCTGGAGTACTGTGTGCAGTTCTGGTGTCCTCAACATAAAAAGGACATGGAACTGTTGGAACAAGTCCAGAGGAGGGCCACAAGGATGATCAGGGGACTGGAGCACCTCCTGTATGAAGATAGGCTGAGAAAGTTGGGGCTGTTCAGCCTGGAGAAGAAAAGGCTGCATGGAGACCTCATAGCAGCCTTCCAGTGTCTGAAGGGGGCCTATAGGGATGCTGGGGAGGGACTCTTCATTAGAGACTGTAGTGACAGGACAAGGGGTAAGAGGTTAAAACTTAAACAGGGGAAGTTTAGATTGGATATAAGGAAGAAATTCTTTACTGTGAGGGTGGTGAGGCACTGGAATGGGTTACCCAGGGAGGCTGTGAGTGCTCCATCCCTGGCAGTGTTCAAGATCAGGTTGGACAAAGCCTTGGGTGAGATGGTTTATTGTGAGGTGTCCCTGCCCATGGCAGGGGGGTTGGAACTAGATGTTCTTAAGGTCCTTTCCAACCCTAACTATTCTATCTATGATGATTCTTTACAAAGCCCTTCTGTGCCACTGCAATGACCTGAAATGACACTGTGGCAGAACCTGAACATCTCTGCACAGGGAGCAGGATTAGCCCTGCAGTGTGTTGGGGTGGCTGGAAGAGACAGAGACTGATAAGCAACTGTGAGGAGCTGGGTTTGTAAAGCACAAGGATGGTTCGGCAAAACACGACAACCCTGATCCAAAACATTGCTGCCAGCCATTCTCCAACAGCCTTTCTCCAAAAGAACTGCAGCCAGTGAGTCTTTACATTAGTGCTAGTCAACTCTGAGAGGCCCATCATGCTTCTGGTCCTTGTGTGCTTTCTTCCACAGGGCCTGAGAGGCTAGAAAAGTCTTCAGCTCTGAGAGTAGCATCAACCAAATAATTGTAAATAGGAGGCAAAATTGTAACTGGCCAAAGGCTCAAGCCATCTTTCATAAGAAAAACTGAGAAGACAACAGGTACCACTGATACATCGCGACTCAGTTGTCACTACTTCACCGAGCCCCTCGTAAATCTAAATAGCCACACGGTGACTGCAACCTTCCCTTGGCAGCACACACAGCACATGCAGAAACAGCTCTATTGCTTCAGACCACAGCCCCATTTAGGCCAGTGCTCCCTCTCTGTTAAAGTGGCTAGCAGCAGATGACCGGAGAGGAACATAAAAACAGGGCAAGGAGGTGTAAGTCTGCCAGTGATTTAAGGATCAAAGACTACCTGAGCTAGAGATGAGGCCTTTGCATTTAACAACCCCAATGATTTTTCTTACATTAATTTCTCCAGTCCCTTTTTTCAACCACAACAAGCATTCAGCTCCTGCAGCAATGAGTTTCATGGATCACTGCCCAAAAAAGTATCTCCTTTGCTTGTTCTGAACACGCCATCAAGCTCATCCTATTTATTTCATGCTCCTACAGTTTGTATTAGAAGACAAAACAAACAGTCCCCCGCTCACTTCTCTTTACCATTTACAGTCTTCTAGGTCTTTCAACTTCACTCACAGTCGTTTCTTTTCAGGGAAGAAGTATAGCTGCCAGATACTCCTTCCCTGGGTATACAATGCACCAATCAAAGTTAGGAAAATGTGACAATAAGGAAGGCAAATGGCTCCCTTCCACCACATGATCTTGATGCTTTAAAGACAAGTCAAAAACCTAGTACCAATCTAAGATACAGTGACAGATGTAGACCTCTCTTTCTGTAGCTATCGACACACAAACATACACACTCATTACATCTTGTAGTTCTGCATTCACAGCACTACTAGAGATCATATTTACCTTCAAAATAGCTTAGAAACAAGGTATTAGCCTTTTTAACCCATATTTTCCTAACAATAACAACAACAGCAGATTAGAATCCTTCCTTCTTTACATAGATGTGGCCTTTTCCCCAACAGATCATTTTTCTCCCTTTCATCCACCTGAAACAAACAGAGGAAACTAAAAAGGCACCTTGGCCTTTCTCTGATAATATTCCTTTTCTTATAACACAAAGGATTGTTCTAGAAAGAAAAGATTTTAAGGCATTCCTTGATGTATAAAATAAGAGATTTTTTTTAATGTATTACTTCCTATTACGCAATAAGAAACTGATTTCTGTTTAGAAATCCCAGCTTGCTTAATTCAGAAATACCAGGCTTTTCTAAATGATTAAAATCAGCACATTGACCATTCTAAAAAAGTCCCGGAATCAAGTGCATTATTTTGATGAATGAAATTACTTTACATCTTGTTCCCTGATTTCAAGAAACCAGCACTACATTTTCCATGAGCTTAATCATACACTCCTGACGTAACTGCAATTGTTGAATAATAAAAGGCAGGGCACTGATCAGAGAAGGAGAAGCCAGGACAAAGCAAACTGAGATCACTGCCTAAATTGGCAAGAATCAACACAAAACAAGGCTGCATTTAACAAATTGGTTAAATCACAGCACATAAGTCATGTTTTTGAGAGGGGTTAATTTACACTATGTGCTAATTAAGCCAAGTGAAATAAATACAGAAGTTATGAATGATCTCACTGAAGAGTGTTACATTTGGAAGGAAAACGATTTAACTGAAGCCAAAATTACAGTCACCTTCAATAATTACATTTCCAGCACCGTAAATTTTTTTCCATCACAACACTGCAAGTAATTCTGTATTAGCATTTACATTATTAAACTCCAGCACATTAACTAAACTGTTGTTTATAGTTTTTGTCAGTGGTTAATACTACTACAAATTGATGATCCTTTGGGTCAGTCCTAGGAAGCACAATTTCATCAGATATTTTTCAATCTAATGAACTCTTGTACCAAGCCTGGGGTAATCACTCATTTCTCCCAGTTGTTTTTGTCATTTCCCCCATTGTTTTTGTCATCACATCACGAAAGTACAGCAAAGTCTGAAGGGAGTGATACTTATGGGAAAAGCATTAGTGCAGGCATCAGCTTCTCAAGGCACTATCCCCCAGCTCTTCCACTGCCCTGAGCACTTCTAGCTCAGGCTCACTTTCTCTAGCTGCAGAAAATCCTACATTGCTGTTGCTGCTTTGCACATTTCTTTCCACTGTAGCTCCATGAGAGGAGGCCCCTACTCTGATCCAGTTTGTTGCCCTGTTTAATCTTTGATACATTTTTGCTCCTTCACTGCTGTGATAGTCTCTCTTTCTCCTGCCTCCTCCTCTTGTCGTGTTTCTGGCACATTGCCCTCTGGGTGGGGAGGCCACCGATGAGTATTCAGTCCCCTGTGGCTGCTGACCACACCGAGCTGCTCCAAGCCCCTTGCAGGATGGACTGTTCCAGCTCCCTTAAAAACCCCTGTCCCTGTGGGTAGCAGCCAGCTCACTGTTCTGCACACCTTCCACTTGGAAGGAGGGTCACCCCAGGTAACCGTGTTACTGTTTTTCATTGGTGGGGCTCTGCTAAGATGTCCTTTCCAGCCCTGCAAGTAATGCAGTGCCATAAAAGTGATGCTCACCAAACCAGGGGGAGGGCTACAGGACAGCTTTTGCAAAATGACTGCTCTGTGACTGCCATTCAGGCCAGGTTATCCTTCCCCTTCACGCTCAAGCTTATGTTTGCAGACAGGAATGAAGAACAGGCCTGAGACACAGTCCACAGGGTAGATCACGGCAGCTTGTGTGGCAGCTTTAGTTAATTAGACAAGCCATGCCAGACCAGCGAAATATCACGCTCACCTCAGGCTCAACTGCACAGTGCAGAAGAACCTCAATATCCTGCCTGCATAAGCCAGCAAGGCCATGTGGCAGGGGAGCACATAGCAACACGTGGTACTGCCAGTGCTGAGCTAGAACAGCTGCATTGTCCGGATGCTGCATGCACTTGGCAAAATAGTTATTAACACAAACTGAGTTACAGCAATTGCTTTTTCCATGGAACATGTCCACAAAAGTGGGAATCAACGGCTAATTCCGGAATTTGTGATTGCCCTATATGTCAGGATATGTTGCTGAGTTACTCCTGTCATCCCTCTGGACATTCTCACAAACAAAGACAGCAGTAGTCTACCTACAGCTGCCTGACACGTGTGTGTATTACTTGTCCCAATAGGAGGAATAAATAAATTACCCCCAAATTGTCAGTGAGATACCATGCTAAGTGCAAACGTTGTCACCTCCTTGGTACCAGGTTCCATACTTTGCTGATTATATTTATTCTCACACAGGTCATCACAGCAAATGCCCTTTTCACTGAGTCTGGCCCTATATGAACTGTTCATCTGGCAGAGAAGCATTACTCTTTTCAGAGATCAAAAGAGTCAAAGAACAGAAACTGCAACAGAAACTATCTATCTGGGCTATGTCTACGAGTAGTTGCAACTCAGCTGTGATATGCCAAGGGAGAGGGGCGAACCTGTGCTGGGACAATGCTTCACAAGGTGAGCAGAGCTGGCTAGATGTCCTTCACAAAAAGTGTCCTGGTGACTTCCCAGCCATGATTGAGAAATGAGATAATCATCTCTTCCATGAGCACTCATCAGATAACTAGCTACCCATTAGGTTGGGAACACGTAGTACCTCTGGAACAAAAAGAAGAGAAAAATATGATATAATGATAACACAAAAAGAACATTAAGCAGCATCTCTGTGCTTCAGACTTGGCTGAGGAGTCAAATACCCTTTACAGGTAACTTTATGCTTCACAGTTACTGCTACTAAGCACATTACAAAAATAATCGCTCTTCTGTTTCTCTTCTCCCTTCACAGTCCCCAACCTCCACTTCTTAACAGGAGTGGGGAGATGTGGGCATAATATTATTTCCCTGCCAGTCCACACCATAGGTACCACTTATTTCTCCTGGATCATTTCTCATGGCTAGAAAGGTTCCTGCCTGTGTGCCTAGATGTATTTTGAGCTTTCAAGGAGTAAAGACTGAGAGAAAAAGGGCAAGTATAAGAAAAAGAGTTTATGTAAGAAGTATAAGAAACCAAGTATATGATACAGTTTGTTCCTCAACTAGTTGGCATAGCTAGCTTTACTGCCTATTTCCCATTAGTCAGCCTGGCAGAAAACCATGACGAAGATTTTTGCCCTACCTTCACCGTCGGCCATTGCATCAGTGAGAGTGCACTGCACAGGTGGGAGGCCAATATGCTCCTGGCAAAGGAGGAAAGAAGCAACCATTAACAATTAGTGACACTAACATTAATGTCACCTTGTTCCTCACCCTAGCTCGCAATGTGACTACTCTGCTCCTTTGCTTCCTACAGTGAATCTTAGATGATTCCTCCTGATTTGCAAGTAGCCATAGTAAAGGAAAGGGGGTGGGGGGGGAAGACATAGTGAAAAGGAGGATGTGTCAATTCAGAGCTTCAGCATCAATGAAGCTGAAAACTTCCTGGAGACATCAATGAAGCTTAGATCAGACTCACATAGAGGAGGGGTGACAGGCAGCCATTTATGTGTTTTCACTGCATATTTCATACTTCCAGATGGGACAGTAATACTGTTTGGGATGAGAAAAGTCTGCCTGAACAAGGCAGGCAGAGCCCCGCACTCTTCAAAGCCAATAGAAAAGCTGAAAGGTATGTTTCCTATCAGCAAGAGATTTTTCATGCCCTCACCACATGCTCTGTTCTCTGGGAATCATCATCTCTTGGCTGAGAAGCAGAATTCAACCTATGCCCCTAAATCTGGGGTTTGATAGCTGGGAGCAAAGAATCCAAAGCAGAGGGAATAAGGGATGTTAGATTCAGGGTAAGAAACTTCTGGGTCTGCTTCCCAGCAGGAGGTACAGCAGCAAAAACTATGGTTGTCTTTGAAATGCAGCTCAACCTGTATGTGTTCCTTGTACTCTTTATGGAGAAGCGATGGCTGAAAGGGTCGCTGCAGCACACAGGAAAGTCTGTCTTGGAGAAGCCAGCCTTAAAGCAGGCCTTAAAGGCAAGTACTTACCCAGCTATCAAAAAAATAGCGCTTTTCTGTGCCAAACTGCACCAGAGAGAGACCTGCTGGAGACACCTCTCTCCTAGAACTGCCCTTACCAAGTAATGAAGATGAGACACCTTCTGAGACTGAAGTGGCAGGACAGTATATGCAGGAACCAGCTGCTAAAATATAACAAATCACCAGCACAGTGTATCATGTACATCCAAGAGAACTGCAGGGCTTTGGGATGGAAGTGGCTGGACTGCTAAACCCATGAATTCTCTCATTAAAATCAACTGCTCTACTGGAGTAATGAAGGGTAGCAAATGCTGTAAGTTGTTCTAAAAAAGGCACGGGGTCACAGACCACTGAGCTTTACTTTGAATCTGGTAAATTGATTGAATTATCAAGTAAAATTAGAATCACAGGAAAGGACTGGCACAAAGAACTGATTGAGTTTTGCTCCATGATCTTGCCCTATTTCCACTGCTCGTCACTACCTTCAAAGTCCTGTTGATTCTTAAGTCTCCTGTTTAGATCATTCCTTGCTACTCTTCTGTATTTGGCTATGTCCTACAGAAAAATGGCTTTTCATCCTTCCCCATTCCACCTAATTCTGTCCTGGGAAAAACTGCATAAGCCAGTATTTGTATTTATTCATGTAATATCTGTATTGCCATTGCAGGTACTCCAGAGAAAAGCAGCAATAGCAGAAATCATACCCAATGTCCTAGTGATCCAGCACTGGTCCCTCACTTGTCCCAGTCTTAACAGAGGAGAACTGCATATTCTAGGAGGCTAATCACTTAAACTCCTGTAAGAATGGCTTTACCATGTGAAGAACATGCAGCATAAGAACGTTTTAACAGAGTTTTCTACATGAATCCTTATATATTGCCTGAACCAGATGGAGTTTTAGGACTTCAGTTTCCCTGGCAAGATACGCTGAAAAGAATGATCCAGATCCAGCAGGTGTCTTGGTTCTGTGCCTGGAAACTCTTTCCCTGGAAATAGGCAATCCCATCCAGCCATCCTCTCCTTACTAGTTCAGGATTTTTTGTGCTTCAGTATAAAATATTTACCTAATATCTCTTCATGCAGTCTGGTGTCTGGAAACACCACTCTGAAGAAGGCACCAAAGAATTATGCTGATCCTGTACTATTATATCTATTTTGCATATTCATTTAGCACTTAGTGTTTCTAACACCTAATTCTCTAAGCACCAAACACTACCAAGCAGTGACATTAAATGAACACATTAGACTATAATTCATACTTATTACCCATATCACTTTGATCAAACTAACTTCAGTGTTTATTTGGTCACCACCATAGTTAAATTGTTATTCTAATTCCACTCCACATTTTGTTAAGCATTCTGATTTAGCAACTTCCATAACTTTGTTTTCCTTTGTGACTAAGAAATGAGAGTTCCAGATTTTTTTTCTGAGTAGACATTAGCTTCCACGTATCCACACGATGCCAATACAATTCACTTTCAAACTCCTAAGGTCTAAATTTCCCTGTTTGGATCTCTGGAAAATTTGAGCACCCTCTGCAAGGTCACTGCAATGCTCTCTTTTCACTTTAGTCCCAAGTCCAAGTGGATATTAGGATTTATAAAGCTTATGGCCATTATGGCCTGAGAAGTGGAGCATCTCTGTTCTTGCCTCTGAGTCACCGTGCACCTGATGCCTCACTAATCCCCAAGTGGTTTGGTGTGCCTCAGCACAGAACAGCTATAATTACTTCTGGAAGCCAGCTGCCAGTCAAGTGGCTAAGAAGTCTGCAGAGCCATTTCCCCAGCCTGCATCGCTGAGTGCGTGGACCATTTGAATACAATACTAAATAGAACAAGACATGGGCGATATATTATCTTTGCAAAGCTGAAGTTGTCACATTTGCAGAATTAATATGGTGTGGCAGGAGATGTAAGGGCCACCTTCTCCATGGAGCTCCCACATCCGTGGAGCCAGACCGCACGAGCACAACGATAAAGAGCCTAGTTTTCCAAAACCACAAATTTCCTGACACGAGATGGGCAACCAGCAGTACATTGCAAGTCCTCTGAGATAAGCACAGAGATGAAAAACTAATGACAGAAATGGGTGAAAACCAGGTATTTCCTACTAAGTCTAAGCGAAACTTTTCTGGGTCTCACTCAAGCACTGTGCCAACAAACCTCTGAATTGTGTTGGAAGTGTTAAGCCCACACTGTGCAGCAAGCCAGGAGCACCTGGGAGCCAAAGAGCACCTGCACCATTTAGCAGATGCTCCTTCTGGGACCTCTGGACAGTATTACGTAAATGACTTTTATTTATTTAACCTCCTCAGTGATCCCTGCACTCTATGGACAAATGGGAGCACCGAGTGCCTGCTCCAAGGAACCCTGCAGCCTAAATTACAGGTAAGTCCCTGCTGCTGTTCAAAGAGGGTTACTTTCTGGGCACATTCCTTTTGCTATGGAAGAAAGGATACATTTAGGGTGTAATAAAGAAGATAAAACAACTGCCGCCTTTGCAGAGAAAGCTGCAATACCAGCAGTATCACCATAGGTTCAATCCTGTTCCTCCTCCTCTTCCTTCAAACAGAAGTTAAACTCACCCATTTCCTCCCTTGCACCCTTGCACACTCTCCTTAGAGAAAGAAGTGGCTCAGGACACTATCTCCAAATCAGAGGTTCACTTGGACACGTCCTGCCAAAAAAAAATCCCAGTAGAAGCTGGAGGAAAACATGGAATCTTTTGCTGCTTTGGACAATTTGCAAGGTGGATTTTTTTATATACATGTGTGTGTATACACATAATATATACGTATAATACATACATATATATTGTACACATGCATAATAAAATACACACATATATTTAGTGCTGCATGGGTGCCAGCCAGCTCATGTATTCCCAAGACAGAGAGATGCTGGTGTATGTGTGGGGGGGGGGGGGGAGCCTGACCAGGAAAGGCTGTTTGGAGGAAGCCCAGGAGGCTTCACACTATGTATCCCATTCAAGCTTGACCTTGGTGGAAAGCCCATTGACTGTTCAACACTGTCCACGCAGCCCAGAACTGTCCACAAGCAACTTCACAAGCAAAGACACACAGCAAGCTTTTGTCTCTTCTCCTCCAAACATAAGGTAGAGTCAGTGACCTTCTCTTCACCCCACATGAGAGTCCTCTTTGGGAAAGAGAGGCCATTTGAAGAAAGGGAAGGTATGTCCTGTGCTGGCACTGGGAATCCCACTGAGTGACAGGGAGAAGTTCTACAGCAATTGCTTTGTTTAAAATGCAAAATGTGGATGTGTTTAGAGGACATATCAGCATCAATCACTTTATGCAAATACTGCCTGTGGAGAAGAGTTTCCCCTGTAAGTCACTCCTCACTGCCCTAATCGAGTTAACGCTAGTAACTGAGGGCATGTTGCATGCTGATGGGCCACTGATGGTGCTGTCCCAGGAGAAGATTAATAAAAGGCAGCAGAAGTGCTTAGCCCCAAGCAGGGAGCAAAGTCAGAGGAGGAGGGGACGGGGGAGGACAAGGGTGTCTTTCTGTCTAGCAGTCATTGCCCATTACCACAGACTAAAAAAGCAAAACCTTGCAACCCTCTTCCACAATCACCAGCAGGCTTGCAGAGGAAGGTCAGCACGGATGA